GCTTGTGCTGTCTAATCTCACCAGGGACCCCGTGGCTGCTCCACAGTTCTAATATTCGTGCTTGGTTAATTTTCCATCACATTCTCCAAGTGGTGTTTTCTGATTATTTATAGCCTCTCTAGGACCGTAACCTTAGGCCTTCCTGCTGTCTGTGTGGCATACATATTGTCTCCTATAGCACGGAAAATACTGAGACCCCCCAGACCCAGCTACTGCAGCTTCCTCTGCCTCCACCACCTTTCGAGCTTCACTATCACTTTTCCTCTACCTCCTGCTCACAGGAAAATGTGTCTCTTTCCCTCCAAAGACATTCCTCTACCATACTTTCTTTCCTCATGCTTTCTTAACTTCTCAAGGACCTTCATTTAGCAATGGGGCACTCTCTTGCCTATTTTTTTAAAGGAAGAAGCACCATCGTTTCTACTTTATGAACAAGAAACCTGTTAAAAATAAAATGAAATGAAAATTGATAATAAATTTGTCTCTAGTCTGCTCTCCTTTCACTGCTCTGCTATATTTCTCAAAAAGAGAGAGAGATTATACCTCCTCGCTCATTTACTTGAGCACTAATTTCTCACCTAAAACGTGATACCTTTCAATGTGGCTCTGACCAACATGTACTCAATCATTTTTTAGCTTAGTAAGTGAATTCAAAGAATGAGTGCCAAACTCTGAAGTGTGATAATTAGTTTCGAGTAAAGAAAAACATCCAAATTAAACCATTACAAAAATAGCAGCATCCATAATTACTGTGCTTAAAAATTATTTAGTTGGAGAGAAGTATGGAGAAAAATGTAGGTAGGGAAGTAAGGGGATCAGGAAGATTTTCCAAAAGAGAAAAGGAAATATGGCATAGGATATGGGAAAAGAGAGTTGACGGGCCTGCACGGGAGATGCTGTCTGAAGATTACAGATGGGTGACCCGTCTTCAGGTGTCACATATTGTAAATGTGCATGCTGCCACAGCTGATCCTGGAAACCAAGCAAGGGCCTCAAGATCTCTGCACACTCTGCAGGCTGAGAGTGTCCCAACTCCTCCCCAATGTCACCACAGTGTTCCAGATTCTCAATACCTACATGATTGGAATAGTTGCCCGAATGGGGTACCTTCCTGCAGCTTCTTTTCTCTCCCTTTCAATTTACCCTCCATGCTCATGCTATTGTCTGATTTTCTTTTCATATAGCAAGAACTTAGAAAATGTGAGTGAATGAAATGACAAAAGAATGAATGAGGGAAAAAAAAAATCTCAGAGTTACATAATCACTATGGCCTTCGTAAATATAGTTTTTTACTATTGAATTATTTTATTAAAAACATATGCAGAAATAAATTATTATTATACTAGAACCAAGAAACCTTGGTAAGGGAAGGGGTGGGGAGCAGTGGGGGTCATTTTAAGATACATAAGGCCCTCCTACAAAAAAAGCCTACTTTTCTTAAAAGTTAAACATTAAGGAAGGAACTTTAAGTGTGTACACACATACACAGACACACACAATTTTCAAAATAGTATTTGGTGGTCTGCTCTTCACAGACAGCTGGAAATTATATGGAAGTAGAAATTTCTTTACATCATAAAATGTGAAAATCTCAACTTATGCTGGTTAAACTGTAAGCAGCCACTTCATACACTAAAATGCCAAAAATAATGACATCAATGAAGATCACCAATGATTTCACAGAATCACTCACATCATAAACTATAATATCCCACAAGGTAAAAATGCATCAAAATTATGAATATTTTACAAGGCAATTTTATTAAAATCATTTTGTCCATACAATTATTCTGCTGGAAAAAACATGTTTATGTTTTCATTTATAATTTAGCAATTGTGGCTTGTGAGAAGTGTATCAATTTAAGAATTGTTTAGTTCTTTCTGTATTGGCAATATGAGATTATTTTTTATTTCTAGTAAATATTTTAAGTTTATAGTTAGCTTTTAAATTCATTTAGAACAATCTCAATATGGTTTTAAAAGACTCTTGAGATCCAACATCATTTGGATAATTTAGAAAAAGTTCAAAATGCTAAAATAATGTAAAAATAAATCTTATGAAATGGGAATTTAAATGAACTAAGCTTTTGATTTTTCCTATGGGAAATAATGTTAATTTTATGGAAAAAAATGATATTGCTGGTGGTGCTTTAGGTAACAGTTTCAGCAGAAATTTTAAAAGGAGTCTATAAGATACAATAAGTTGGGCTGTATAATCAGCAAACTGCACAGGTCAGTTAGAACTCAGTAATCAGTAAGGACACGGTTTAAATCTGCTTATGAATAAATTACTTTTTCCACATCAGTACAAAATCAGAGCTTCAGAATCATCTTGGCAACTGTGCAACCTTTGACACAAATGGGTTTCTTTTTGACATTTTAAAATTAAATTGATTGGGGTGACATCGGTTAATAAAATTACATAGGTTTCAAGTGTACAATTCTATGATACATCATATGTGTATTGCACTGTGTGTCCACCCCCCAAAGCGAAATCTTCTAGCGCCACCATATATTTGATTCCCTTTACTACCATCCCACCTCCCTCCCCTCTGGTAACCAACCACCATCCTGGTGTCCGTGTCTATGAGTTTTTGTTCGTTTGTTTGTCTTGTTTGTTCACTTGTTGCTTTCAGCTTTATTCCCGCCATATGCGTGAAATCACATGGCTCTTACTTTTTGTCTTATTTCGAGTAGCGTGATATTCTCAAGGTCCATCCATGTTGTCACAAATGGCAGTATTTCTTCTTTCCTTATGGCTGAGTAGTATTCCATTCACACAGTCATTTTTAGTGATGAATTATCAGATGGCATTAGCTTTCAGTTTTTATTTTTCAAATGAGAAGTTGTGCCCCTTGTCCCTGCAGACTGTTCGTGGATTAGCGGCTTCAATGCCAGGCCAGGAGGGACTTTCACTTTTATTACGTGCTTCTCTGTGTAAGCTTTACTTCAACTCTTGTTCTTTGCAGAAGTTTAAGTGATTTTTTTGGTAAACTTTGTCTTTATTCTTGTTGATAATATTCATGCATTGTCTTTAACTCATAAACACCGTGTTTAAGGCCCCTAGGGGTAAGCAGACATGTTCTGTAAAGGGATAGATAGTAAATATGGTAGTGTTTGCAGCCATATGGTCTCTGCAGCAACACTCAGTTCTGTAGGTATAGTGCTAACACTGCTCTAAACAATGCAAAGCAATGTGTGTGGGTGTGTTTCAATAAAACTTTATTTACAAAAACATGCAGCAGGAAGAATTGGGCCACACTTTGCTGACTTCTGATCTAAGGGAGGGAGTATCTTTGTGTGGAGGCAAGGAGGTAACAGTTTCAAGGACTTAAGAAATATCAACCTCTCATGTCGTGTAATTCGTTATGTTTCAAAGGCTCTAAGAATAAGCATTATAACAAAATGAGGTGCTGTAGGAACCCAGATTTGCGTTCACTGGCTGCTTCTATACTAAGTCATAGTTTTTTGAAGGAACAGTTCCTTTATTCAACAGTCATCTACTGAGCCCTGTGGTGCAACCAACACTCTATTGGCAACAAGTGTGATACAGTGTATACCAAGCCCTGATCCCTCGGACCTACACCTTTGCAGGAGATGTTTTTTACTTTTAAATTTAAAAATAGGCCCTCAGAGCCTTTTTAGTTTGTCCCCTTCTGTGCGCTACTGTGACCAGTGCTGTTCCTCCCTGGCTCAGTCCAGGGGAAGGCGGACCCTGTACTCTCATCCCACTCCCACTCCTACTTTAAAAATTAGTGTTTCTTTTTGCTTACTTTATTTGTACTTAATAAGAGATTCAAACTACTGCTGAACTGTTTCATACTTCTTTATTTTGAGGTTAGGAAAGGGTTGGGTTTCAATTCCTGTATCTTGCTGCGGTAGCAAGCTGAGCAGCCATTTCATTTCCCCTGGGGAGGCAGCTGAGATAGATAAATGTATTTTTAAAATTTACTCTTTAAAACTCCTGCTTCTAGAAAATAGAGCACACAGACCAAAAAGGAAAGAGCAGTAGCGGCAATTTAAACATTTCTTCCAGTGTGCCACTGCGACTCAGCTCAGAAAAATAACTATACAAGACATTTTTTAATGTTCCATTCCTGTTTCTAAACAGATTTCAAATAATATTTCTAATTAAATTTATTATCAACTTTAACAACTGGTTAAATCATAAGAATTATTGAGGTACTAGGATTTGAATTCACCACCTTGAGGTAAGACAAGCTTATCTCATCCAATGAGGAAAACAAAGTACTTTTTAAAATTTGAACATGAGAATGAATTTATAGACTGTGAATCTATGACACTAAAATTCATGGAAATTCAGTAAAACAGCTGAACTCTGAGTTCCTGGGAGATGTAGTAATTAAATTTTAAAACAATAGGATTTACTGTACTTGAACTTTATGTAACCAGTAATTTTTGAGACTTGTAAACAATGATGATTATTGACAGTTTAGGCCATTCATCATGCCCAAATTTGTGTGCAGCTTCCTAGGAAAACCTTTGTGATATTTCCAGGCCGAGATTTTCTGTATTCAGTTTATTCTTTGGTGATACTTTAAATTTTTCAGAACTCTTCTACATTGGTAGAATATCCCCTGTACTTAATTATACACCATGCCCCCATGAAATTATTGTCAAAATAAAAAAATGAAGTTATCAGATTCCAACACTCCTTAGGATACTTAGAAGTCATAACTGTTGGATAGGAGAGCAAGCTTTTGCCACAGACAATGACCTACTACATAGATTAAGCTGGGGACGCAGCTCCGTAGTTGTGCTGTGCGATGGGCTTCGGTGTGGAAATGCAGCAGTGTCTAATGAAAGAAAATGACTCTGGGCCGTAGATTCGGGTCTGGCATCAAGTTGGAGTGAGATATTCACGGGCTCTGAAGCTCAGGCTGCAGCTCCTCGCACGGCCCGGGTGAGCGAGGCAGGAAGCCCATTGGTGGGAAATGTTCTCCGGGAGGTCTCATCTTGGCCGCTGTGTCCTCCCCCAGGATCTGCCACTGCGAAGGGGACGAGGAGAGCCCCCTCATCACACCCTGTCGCTGCACGGGCACGCTGCGCTTTGTCCACCAGGCCTGCCTCCACCAGTGGATCAAGAGCTCAGACACGCGCTGCTGCGAGCTCTGCAAGTACGACTTCATCATGGAGACCAAGCTGAAGCCCCTGCGCAAGGTACGGTCCTGCAGCAGCCGGGTGGTTTCGCACAGAGCAGGCTTGTTCGAAAATCCGTTTGTTTCCCCAATAAGATGTCGCTGATATGCAAATACCCATGAAGAGTACATGACTTGTGCTGGGCCTAATGTGTAAAATGCAGCCAAGTGTTTGCAGATCATCTTTTTTTTCGTCTCTGTTCTATATTCTAGAGCCTCTGTTTTTTATATCACTCTTCCAAGTAAAACAAAAAGAGTGTGTGCATGAATGTATATGTGTGTGTGTGCGTGCGTGTGTATGTGTGTTCAAAATACTCTTATAATTCAACGGAATGGAATTGATGGGAACTATGAGAACATTGTATTTACTGAGGTCAATTCCCATGAAGGCTAGATAATAAGATTACATTAAATAATATGAACTCACCTCATTTCTTGCAAGTCAGGCTTTAGCTAATAGAAGAGAATGGGGGTTTTTTGTATCAGGTGTGGATTCTTTTTTGTGTTTACCTTTATTTGGGATTTGGTTTGAAGGTTCATGTATAATTAGAGTAGATAGAAAAAGTATTATTTTCCACACTTTGCACCAAGCTCTAAGGCAGAGGTAAGTATATTTTTATCTGTAAATTTAATCTTCAGACTCCTCATTTATGTTATATTTTTCTAAAGAATAAAGGTAAGAATATGAGTAAAATATAAAGTTAGCGTCTCGCTCAAAGCTAGCAGAGGAAAACTTGTAAAGGATACAAAGAAAATGAACTTTATTTAATTCATGCTTGATAGCTGGGCCCCTCGATCGTTGCAGGTAACATATTCATCTTTTTCCGCAACTGCAGCCGTGCATATATGGATGCCTCAATTTCCAAATGAGAGTATAGAGACTGCCATTTAAATAATGAATCTGCCTAGAGCTGCTTTTTCACTTAAATTAACTACAAAAAAAAAGCATATAAAGAGAACATTGCTTGGAAATAAACATGATGGGATGAGCAAACAAGAATATTCCAATAGGCATCAGATTGGTGGCTGGCCATCACAATTCTTCATAAAAAATCTATAAATCACACAGAGAGAAAAGCATTCCCTGTTTTTGTGGTAGCTTTCCTTTTAAAATTCTGCAAGTGGTTTAGAGATGTCAAAACTGATGCACAAAATGTCTTTAGGAAACGCGTTGTCTTTTTTTAACATATGGAGTGACCTTGAGTGCCCAAAGGGGACACTTTGTTCCTCTGGTCCCGGAGCAATCAAATGCCAGAAATAGAAATGGACCATTACTCCTTNACGTTGTCTTTTTTTAACATGGAGTGACCTTGAGTGCCCAAAGGGGACACTTTGTTCCTCTGGTCCCGGAGCAATCAAATGCCAGAAATAGAAATGGACCATTACTCCTTGCCCATTGCCTTTTCAACTGAACGGATGCTGTGTGTTGTCTGGAGTAGCTAAATGACACATTGTGCTCCATGATTCTGTAAATTTCTCTTCTAACCCTTCAGGGAACTACAAATTATTTCATAGCATCTGTATATTTATCCATGTTTTATTTCTTAACCTACATCTGTAAAAAATTTTAATTTTAATTTTTCCAAACATAATATTTCAATTTGAAAGTCACAATCTAGAACAATAAAATATTCACATTTCTCTTCATACTTTCTACCCTCTGCCCCATTTGTATAATAAACAGTACATGATGCTGTATGTAACTTGAAAAGTCTTCTTATTCTACCTTCAGCTTTCATAGAATCATCCCATATATTCAACTTTGATCCTTTCTTAATATTTTATTCCCAATAATTTACAACCCCATGAGGAAATTCTATTTTTTTCCTCAACTAACCTGTTTATAAACCAGAGAAATGCAGTGACTATTTATTTCATATTCATTTTTAATGAATATTCATTATATACTAAAGTAATAAATATATTCTTAGTAATGAATACTTTTTGGCAACCTAGTGGGCACCTACTATCTGTTAATTAATGAAATATCCTAGTTTTTTAAATAAATATTTCTTTTGATTGGTCATAAATATTAATGGACAGCATGTCAACATCCTTCATTTTTAATAGCATTTATATACCTACAGAGGATGTTAGAATCTCATCCAGAGGTTGCTTCCTGACAGCCCACGGATGTGTTTTATTTGATCCACAAGGATTAAAATTTGAATTAATTACCAACATTTAAATAGGTGATTATATTATGTAAAGTTCCACACATCTCTATTTGAAAATCTCAGCATCTGGTTTTACTGGAACCACAATCCCATAGGACAATAACCAGGGAGCTAGATGGTGGCTAGTCCTTTCACAAGGCTATTTGCCATTAAGTTCAGCCCTTTCTCTTTTTCCAGTCCTGAGACCTTTTACCATCTCCACTCATCTGAGTACCTCGGTGGCTCTAGTGAAGGTATCTGAATGTTCAGCTGCTGGTCTAACACATGAGTTCTAGATATGCATTCTATCCCTGCCTCTGTGGGTCATGGGCTTTAAAAACCTAGAAGAGGTGTTCCAAACTTTCACTTTGTCCCTTAAGCCTGTGGGGCACTGGGATAATACTTAAATGGCCCTATCCAAAATGACTTTTCAGATTCTGAGGTGGTATAAACTATACAGATATGAGGCATTTAAAAACTTTTCTAGATGGTTTGTTTTGATGGCACTAAAATTCATCAACAGTTTCCTTTTGGTAGTTTTTAAGTGGTCATTAAGAATGACAGGCATAGTATTTGGTTAGAATATATTTGAAATACAACCAACTTATTGCTCTCAACTCAGTAATTCCATTACAGCTTATAACATTCTAAAGACAAACTACATGAAACAATTACTTTAACTAATGATTCTGAATTTCTACCATTAGCCAGTGGAAGCAGGATATTCTGTTGAGGTGAAATAGCTTCTTAAAATAGAAAGGTGCAAATCTTCATAATCTGAGGAATATTGGCGCTTACTATTTAGTCTCTAATGATGCCAGCAAAATCTTACTTCATTAATTGCTAACATCACTACACCAAAATCTATAGTTAATAAATTCCACAAAGTGTGTTAATGTTCCCAGAAGAAAATCTTTAAAATCTAAATAAAATCAAGAGCTTATTTGAGAAGAAGGAAAAGAAGCTCAATTTTTATCATGTTTAAGTCAGTAACTCAGCTATTTTTATAACATTCAAGAGAAGTCCCATTAATCTACTGAGTTACCTGGGTCCGAAGTATTTTTCAGGGCCCAGAAAAGTCAAAAAGCCAAAAATATAGAAAGCAGAGTGATGACTCAGTGAAGTTTGGAAATGAACACAGTATCAATTAGAAAGCATAAGCTAATCTCCTACTTTGAAGTTGAAGAATTGCATGGGGCTCAAGTCTGAATCATTCCTGAGCGGAAGAAACCAGCTGCTGGGTTTGTAGCTAAGCATGAAGATAGAAAATGCTACTGACAACTATACGCCCTCCCCTAAAATATTTCTTTATATAGCTTTCCATATTCAAACTATTTGACAAATATCTAACACAAAATATTCAGCTCTATGTATCCATTTATTTCTTGTTTCATTTCCACAGATAAAATGAGGTAGTGAATCAATGACCTTTGCTTTGGTAACAATTAGGTTGAACCATATGCACTTGTCACTTTTGCAGATCAAAAATACTTGAATATTGGAAAGCTCATAATATGTAAGTTCGGTGTGGACTTATTATGCCAAATAAAAAGGAATAATTGTTTTTGGTATTTCTACATTTCCACCATAATGACTTACAAAAATTTAGTTGCATATCTATTTTTTAAAAATAAAGAACTGTATATGACAAATTCTATGTTAATTCCTTCCTTTCCTTAATTCAATGTAGCATCCCATCTTTTAAAAGAGCCAAGAGCCTGTGTAAGTTACCCTAGCAAGTCAACTGCCCAAAGGTTATTGATTCTCTGCTGAGCTGGAGGTATTGGAATCCATAGCGTTAAAATTGGACAGGGTAGGGAATGTGATTAGATTCTTAGCTAGGGTCTTCCAGCACCCTATTGAATAATGTTGCCTAATCATCTAAGAAATTTAAAACACATCATTTCCTTGCCATTGTCGGGCATTTCACTAATACAACCACCACATACTGGATTTCTGCTATGTACCAGATATTTAGAATAGACCACTTAATTAATTTAATCTCCATTACACTCCCATTTTTATGTAGGCATGCATAAATCCCATTTTACAGATGAGGAAAATGAGACACAGTGTCAACTTACTTGATATCATCCACCCCAAAGCTACCTGGTTCTAAAGCTTGTACTCATCGCACTGTGACTCGCTGCCTTAAGTAGCCAAAATCCTCTCCATTCAGGCATCAAAACTTTAGCCTTTATGAAAACCATTTCTAATGAAAAGCTTTCAAAATAAATTTTTATAAAATTAAATTTTTTCTAAAAATCTTCCTTCTTAAACATGCATGTTTTACCCAATGTATTTTCCTAATACCTGGTTATGTCATTATACATACGTCGATTATTTGCGGGCTGAAAACATTAACAGCCTCAAAAGCTTGAAACACACATAAGGCTGTTTATTCTCATTCTCAGTCTGCTGTGATTTGAAAGCCCTTCTCTCTGCTTTTCTCTGTTTCTTTCTTCCCTGCTCTCAGAGCATCCACTGTCACTTCTTTGTTCCTCCACTAGCCCTTAACATTTTACACAGCTACTGTTTTTCTACTTCAAATAACAACAACAGCAAAATCAAGAGTTACAGAACTGGGTCTAGAAAAAGCTGAAGCCAGTTCTAGATGAACTTCAGCAAGATTGCTTTGGTCGCTGGGAAGAGTTTAGTGGGCACGAACATTCTGGCGTCACTCTTGGATTCCTGGAATTCTCTTTGGTATCCTTCTTAATTTTCAATTCTACTCAAATTACTTGGGATTCTATGATTTAAAAAAAAAAAACTTCAGCAAAGAAAGATTTCCATTGCCTCCGGGCCATTTCCTTATCATCAGAGCCCAGTTAGGGGGAGTGGTTTTGCTGTTTAATTTTTTCACAGA